TTTTTTTGTATTGAATTTTTTCCGAGACTTGGCTCATCCCTGAAGGGGAATAGGGACATCTTTCCAAAGCTACTTCCCATCCTTGGGTTTGATCACGACTTTTTATGAAACACGGAAAGTGGCGCGCTACCACCCGCCCTCGGTCACCAGCTTTTATGAAAAACTAGGGCATTTTCGGTAGCTATTTCTGAAAAGTGTCTGTTCCTCCCCACTCTCAAAAACAATCGAGAGCCTTGACTTCGACATACAAACTAATAAAACTAAGGTATATAATTGAAACTTTTATAAAACTTCTATTTTCATAGAGACGAATCTCTCGGATCGTTTATAACCAAGAAAAAAACAAACGTTTCATTTTTATTTTGCTTACTTTGTTTGTTGTTCATCATCATTTATATTTGTTATAGATGATGATTTTTGATCATCTAATGATTCAGTTATTATAGAACTATTGGACGGATAAACTGCGATAGGTACAGAATCATTCCATTGAATATCACCAAATTGAATATCGATTGGTTCAGTGGGACATTGTATTATTGGATGCATTGATACAGGTTCCTGAGGAATCGATGATGGTGTTGGACGTTTTGTAGATGATAATTTTTTTATACTATTATTATATGTTAATGTTTGTGTAGTATTAAGAATAAAAACATCATCATCAGTTGTTGATGATGATGGTGGTGGTGGTGTTGTTGTTGTTGTCGTTGTTATATCTTCTTTTGTTTTTGATAATGGAATTATTTCATTCGAATTTTGTTGATTTGATAATGATTTATTATTATTTGAATAATTACGAGATGAATAATGTGTATTTGATGGAATAAATTGATTTCGACCGGAATCATTTCCTTAAGTGAAGAGCAAAAAACAAAAAAAAGATTAGAAGATTTTTGTTAATAAAAATTATTTTTTACTACGTCGTCCATAGTTGGTACGTGATGATGATGAATAATGATAATGATCTTGTCGTCTACCAGTTCCACGAAGTGATGGCGTAGGAGATGTATGTTGAGAACGAGAATGTTCACTATCACTTTGTGTACTACCATTTAATATTTGATCAGGTAGATTATTATTTTTCTTTTTATTATTTGATTTAGCTGTTTGCCAACCACCATCCTATAAATGAAAATATATAATTTGAAAGAAAAAAAAAATCTATAATTTTTTTTTTTTTTTTTTTTTGTGTACCTCAAAGTCACCTGCTTTTATTCGTGCAATTGTATTTTGCATATTATAATCACATTCATGAAAGACAACAGCAATTATATCAAGATTAATATCTCCACAAATTTCTTGAATCTAAAACAAGATGATAAAAATATTTTGACAAAAAAAAAAAAAAAAAAAAAAAAAACAATTATTATTTTTTTATTTACTAGTAATATCTGTTTTTGAATAGCCGCATCATCGAATTTTTCTGGTCGTAATCGAGCAAGAGGTATTTGATCGATATTATACATTGTTGATAGCTAAAATTAATAAGTAATTATTAAATTTTTTTATTATTATTATATTCAAAAAGAAGAATAAGATACAAAAAAAAAATGATTTTTTTTTCCCTAAATTCGGAAATTTATGAGAATGAATCATTATGTTAATATTGACTCATGAGAGATTTATTCTAAAACATTCCATTTAAGATGTTATTTTATAAAGACAAATAATCTGAATGAGTAAAAATTTCATCAGTTTTTTTTTTTTTATAAACATGTAAACAAATCAAACATTGTTTTTTTTTAGTATTTTCCCATTATAATAACAAATTTGTTCTTATAAAAATAATTTCAATAGAAATCGAAATGACTTACATCAGATCGATTTATATTGTTCTCGTTGTTAAATTTCGATGGAAGACTGGCCATATTTAAATGAATAATAATAAATATGTTAAATTCTCAAATATTTTCATTGTAAAAATATCATAATTGAATCTCCAAAGAAAAAAATAAATATTCATAAATAATAATTTTGTTTTATTTTTTTTTTTTTTGGATATAAATTTATTTTATTAATATAATTTCTTTTATTTTTTATCACGAGGAATACAGAAAAAAAAACAGAACGACATTTCAAGGAACAAGAAATACGAAGAATTTCTTTTTTTTATTTTCATCTACAAAAAAGAAAAAAAACGCATCAACGAGTAAATCCATCAATAATCTATGGACAACCAATAGAATGAATTTAAAACAGTAATGCATTTTTTATTTTCTTTTATTGTTAAATTAAAATTTTCGAAATGGTAAAAGGTAATAATACAATAAAAATGATTCTGGCATTTAGCCAACGAATATATATGTTTGAAAAATCAAAACGGACGAAAAGAAAATAAATGATGATGATCGTTTTTTTTTTTACTATTCTCATTTTAGATCCAATCTACTTTATCATTTCTTTAGTGTATTTACAATCCAATGGAAATCAATCATACGACCGGCAACAGAATGCCGAGTCAAGAACATTTAAATTTTATAAATAAATTAAATGATTCAAAAATTCCGCGACAAAATCAATTAATTGCTAATCGTTTATTTATGAAAAATTTTCCTCGTGAAGTAAATTTAAATTAACCAAAAAAAAAACAAAAAAAAGGAAATTTTTTTTTTTTGATTTTATTAGACAACTGGTGCTGAAATTGAACATTGTTTTCAAACATTTGGTCCTGTACATGATGTGAAAATAATTGCAAAAGAAAATACGTATGTTTTAAATTATTTACAAATGAGTAAAACAAAAAAAAAACAAATATGTACGATTTCTATCGAATTTCA